TGGTGTCCCTCACCTTATTAGGGCCGCCACCTGCCAGGATGTCCTTGTACGAGCTGGATGATGATTCAGAAGCGGTGAGTAATGCATCCTGGCTGCTTTGGGTCCTTCCCCGCACTATCCATGTCTGCCTGTTGCTAGCTCATCTCGGGGGAGACTCTCCTCTCATCAGCACCATGGTTTTCTCATTCTTTTATGTTCACCTTCCACTCTGAATCCCGTTTGCTCTCTGAATCTCAACTCTTCCTTTCCGCCCTTCTCTCTTTTCAAACAACATTCTCCTCCCCTAAATAAATCAAAAGGTCCTAAAAAGAGGATAATGTGACATCCTGGTCCCAAATCCCTTCTGTGGGAATTAACTGGAAGCCCTGACCAAAACCGTATAACGGGGGGCGGGGGGGGGCAGTCCTTAACTGCCACTCTGGCAGGTCTCTTCATTTGTACTGTGGGGTGTTCTTGGCTCCATCTTTTCCCAAATATTGGTTTTGTCAGGAAAAGTTTTGTAGCATTCTTCACATCTTTGTGCGGTGTGTGTCTGTGTTTTGTTAGTAGGGATGTTTCCAGGTTTCTGTCTAGGCACGATCACTACAGAAGATTATGTAGATTCCTAAAACACTATCATTTATGTAAAGAATAGTCAGGGTTTTATTGCAGGGGGAAGGAGTTTGGGTAAATCTATTGCAACCCCACCTCCTCCTTAATTCCAGATGTTGGTGAACATCAGGCTGAAGTTGCTACACTTGAGGTGCGAGCACACCTTTTGGAGGTCTGGGATCTTGTGCATTCTGTGTGTGCAGACTCACCCATCCCCTCTCTGTTTAAGTACCCTCATCCTGTCAAGCTCAGAGAAGCTACCACTACGTGGGCTTCCCAATTTTGGCGTGGAACTGGAGGGCAAAAAGTTAAGTTGTGAGCATTTAGGAGACCAGAGAGAGTGTGTGTTCAGGTAAGAAGCTTGCAGCTATGTTTTGCTCAGGACCACCCATGGCTAGCTGGTTTTGGGTTAGGAGGTACTCTTTGGATATTCAGCCATCTCTATCCAAAGCTGTTGTGGCTCTTTGCTAGCATGTGCCATCTTTGCAGGCTGCTATGCTTCCTCTCCTTGCAACTTTGCAATTTGTAGTGATGCCCATTCTCTGGTCTCACTTGCATTCTGGGAAAGTGCCATGGAAAGACTTCCCTTATTTGTAAATCTGCTCCACCTTCTCAACAGCATAGTTTCTCTTTTTGGTTTGGTTTGGGGGGGGAGCGCTGTGATGTGCATTTGGGCTGTGCCTCTTATTCTGTCGTGACTGCATTTGGTGAGGACCTGTTTTGTGTTTGCATCTTTCGCAGCAGGGAGGTTCAGGGAAGGAGATCAATTGCAGATAATTAAATAGATTGTATCCCCCTGGAGTTCAACACATATTTAAAAAAGCAATCCACTTCTATTGGAGAGATGCCAGTAGATTTGGCTTTTGTTCTCAAGAAGTTGTCTGCATAGAATGGGGTGGAAGTGAGCCCCCTCCATCCTTTCCTTCCACATTGATTGACAGCTGCCTGTGGAGTTCTGGCCCCCTTAAGAGTCCAGCTTAGTCCTTGCAGTGAGCCTACTTTCCCTCTCCTAGCCTCATAGGGGAGCTTGCTAATTAACAGTGACATTTCAGCCCCTCACTCTCACCCCAGTCAAGCTACCTCTCTTCAGAAAAAGGGTAAGAAGGCCCGTCTCATTTTGAGCCTTAATGAGCCATTCACAGGAAGAAAATGTCTCTTTCAAAAGAAAATAATCAAGAGCGATGGAAGGTCACAGATGAACAGAAAAATCCCACAACAATTCAGTTTAGGACTTTTTTTATTGGTTTGTTAAGAAGGCAGAGGATAACTTTGTGAAGAAACAACCAAAATTTGGTTATAGCTATATATGAGGGGACTATGTGCGGTGTCCTCACTTGGGAAAGGGAATGCCAGGATTCAGTAACTGTCGAGAAAATCACCTGTTTATTAATAAAGTTTAAATTTTGTGTACTCTTACTTGGATATAAGGCCCAGTAAACCCTGTGGGATTAACCTCTAAGTAAGCATGTGAAGGACCAGGCTGGAAAGAGAAGCAAGAATCCTATCAAATACTTTTATGATAAGATAGCATTATAGTATTTTTTTATTTTATTTGCCAATGTAAGCACACACACACACACACACACTTTCTTAGGCAACATGGTACCATTTGTCATCCTCCAACCTGTGGCTTTTTGTGATTTTGTTCAAGTTTGATTTAAATTGCTTTTAAAAACTACTTTAGAGTCTATGCAGTTCCCTATACTGCCATTCCAGCATTATTAGAAGCCTGGCTGACTGGTTTAAATCAGGCAGATTCACTAACACACATACACACTGAACTCTCAGAAACATTAACTTCTCAATTACATTGTGATGTTGGTTATGTTCAATGTTAAGTTGTGGGTGAGCATATCAGACGACACAGCGATTCTTCAAACAGCTCTTGTTTATTCAGAGGCCAGAACAGAACTGAACTGAAGGGTTCAGTCAGCCTGCTTATATAGAGCTCCAGTACACATAATTGTAACAGCTTTCTAAAACTATCCAATCACTGAACGTCACTTTCGATCCCTTATTTGCATAACTATCTACAGTATCCCCCTGCTGGCCCAGGGTGAGAACTTCAGTACATTAACATTCTAGTTTGTGTTTATAGATTTTAAATGTTCATGTATACCACCCTGAAATTTATTTTTGGGTGAAGGTGTAGCTTATTAAAAAATATATTAAAGAATCTACCTTCTTACAGAAAAATATATATTCCATGGAACAGAAACCTCCTGTGCCAAGAGACCATATAAAATAGGGAAATGCCTAAGAACCTCCAAGAATTACCCTTAGTCTGCTTTTATTCAGTTATGTGCTTTTATGCTTTAATTTATTAATTTAGGTTTCGCATAATTTTATTCAGATTGGCACAAATACATTTATTTTGTTTTAATATTTGTTAAAAGACGGACCATTTTTCCTTTCAGCTGGTTCTGTTGTGATCTGCCAAGGAAACCCCATCATTTTAAGTGGGTCTGTGTTGTAGTTCTATTTGGGTGCGAGGTAAAATCTCCTGTGTTAGTTATTTCCATACTGTTCAATTTTTATTTTGTGATGGTCTTGATGACTAGATACAAATAAACATAACTGAAATCTCTCTGAATCGCTCCTAGTCTTGAAGAGCTGACTCAGTACAGTATTCTCTTTCCATGTTTTATACCATAAGTTAAAAGAAATGAATAGAAAGTTATTGTGTTGCCTGAAACGGAGGAACAAATATTGGCAACCCCTTTTCAACCAAGCTTCATTGTGCCAGTTATTTTGGCACCTGAGGAAGAAAACCCCACGAGCAATTAGTTAATTGTTAGATAACTAACAATTTGCTGCCTTTTTGTGAGACCAGTTGTCAGGGCCGCCTCAGGTCCCAGCTCACAAGAGACCAACGCCAAGTCCACTTTATTTACAAAAGTCTTTATTGAAGTACATTGTTTGTTCCACAGCCGAGGCGCGCAGCCCCACGTCTGTTACGCTTAGACCGCTGAAGTCCCCTCTGAATCAGTCCCGCCTCTACACCAGTTTAAGAGGCTTGTGCTGGTCCACCTCTTCCTGTCCTTCCTTTTCCGCAGGGTCTTTCTGCCCCCCTGGGTTCCTCCCCTCCTGGATTCCCCTGACGCTGAGTCCCCAGACGCCTGCTCCCCCCTCCTCCGTGCTTTGGGACCAGGCTCCTCCTCCGGGCTCTCCGCATTTCCGCGCGCCTCCACATTTGAACTTGGCGCGCGTTCGCTACCTCTGACCTTCCTTTTGACAGTTACACTACTCTCTGTACTACTCTCCGCCCCTTCCGGCAGGACGTCTTGCCCCGATCTCCTTCCCCCCTCTGCTTCCTGCTCTGCTTCGTCTGTCACACTGGGAACTCCACCCTCTTCACTCCGTTCCGGCGGGGAAGCCGGCCCCGATCTCCAACTCCCACCCGGGGTTCCCCTGCTGCTCCCCTGCTCCTGACGAGTCCCCCCTGTGACTCCCCTTGGCCTGACCAGGGGCGCCCCCTTTTGGGAATCCTCCGATTCACTTGAAAGACTCATGGAAACCCTCAAGTCATTGTCATCCTCCTCCTCCTCGTTCCGGGATTCTTCCCCCTCGCTCTCAGTCTCCTCCCTCATCTGTGCCTCTCTCCCTGAACCCCTGACACCAGTGTATAGGACTTGCCCTAAGGATAGACCCTGTGTGTTGTTAGTGATGGTACCCATCCTTCTGTTTTCCACCTGGATGTAGGTTTCATCCCTAGCTATCCCTTGTTGATGTCACATCTGGTCAGCAACTTCCTGCGCCCTTTGTCCAGCGCAGGAGAAAAATGTTAGAAACACTGTAGTCAACATGACTAAAATCACGAATGCTGTCCAATGTTCTGGGTGTAGACTAAGCTCAGATTCCAAAGGCAAACAATCTTGCCAGCCTTATGGCTCGACAGCAGTAGGTACTCTCTAGTTTGAAGGCAGCAGATGGGATTCATTCCCCTACGAACGGTGTCTCTGGCTGGGCTGCTTATGCTGCCCAGGAATGACAGGATACAATGCCAGGATGGAGCGAAATGCTTTCCAGAGGCCTAACCAGCAGGCAGATGAGGTTGCTGGCTCAGGTGTGAGACAAGAGATGGGGAGGAAGCGCAGGCTGCCAGCATCTGCTTATTACACCTGCTTGGTTAACAAAGGCCTTGCCTTAAGGTCACATGAGGACCCGGGAGACAGAGTCCTTGCTGATTTTCAGCGGTGGAGCATCTGCTTTGCATGTAGAAGGTTCAACCCACAGCATCTTCGGGTAGGACTAGGACAGACACCTGCTTTTGAAACCCTGGAGAGCCACTGCCATTTCAGAGTAGACAGCACTAGATGGACCGATGGTATGACTTGGTATAAGGCAGCTTCCTGTCTCCTAGCCTAACCTACCCCATCACCACCCCTCTTTTCTCCTCCTCCCTCTAGGGTTCTGCTGAGTCCTACACCAGTCGGCCCTCTGATTCCGATGTGTCACTGGAGGAAGATCGGGAGGCCCTGCGCAAGGAGGCAGAACGCCAAGCCCTAGCACAGCTGGAGAAGGCAAAGGTAAAGTAACTTCAAGCATCCTAGAGAAATTGCAGGGCAGGGTGGGGGAGATGGTTTTCGTAATGCAGCCTGCTGGGGAAAGCTATCTGGCATCAGGATCTGATTCAAGAGCAGAGTCCCATTGAGATCCATGTGAGAGTCTGTGGGGAGCAGCTTAACCCGATGGCCCATCCTTCAGCACATGAGAGAGGAAAGTAGGGTGTGTGTTTTGTCCCTACTAAGGAAACAACCCATCACAGCCTGCACCTGCTAGGAGGGAATGCCATGGATGCAACCCTGCCTGACTCAGCAGTGGGTGGTCTTGCTGCCTCTGTGGACTTCAGGTCTTCCATCCTTCCACTCTGCCACCCTTCCTCATTTTAATTTTTGCTTTATTTCTGTGGGTTGTTTCTTCCTGTAGCTTCCTGCCATGCCTACAGCATAGTTGGCCTCCTTTACAGGTGTTCTCCATGGACATGACCCTTCCACGGGTGGTCACAGCCAGTGTACGATTTGTTAAGGCTAGTTTCATAATGCTGACTCTTGCCCACACTGCCTTATGCTAATTAAACAAGCTGGCTGTTACCAATCCTTGCAATTTAAGGGAGGGAAACATTAACCACAACGATGCCCAGCTGGCTTATGGAAGCATCAGTGGGATCAGTTAACTGACTTTTGGGCTCAGTGTTCATGCACACACAAACCAGGGCTACAAATTGATTTCAGTTGCTCCATATTTTGCTTCGACTAGTTGGCTGTCTGCCTCTGTGCTTTTGAACTCGGTAGGCCTCTACCTCTGAGCCCCTGGCAGCAAAATATCCCTGCAGGAGAGCTTCCATCAAAATGCTAAAGGCATCATTGAGCTAAGGATTCTGGATACGGATTCTGTATTCTGGATACAATGCCAGCAGTGGGAGGAGCTGGAGCCAGCAGTGAGTAGGGCCAGAGCCAAAACCTAAAGTGGACAGAGCCCCTCCTTTCCTGCCCGCTCTTCCTCCCCCATCCACCAGGTTACAAGGAGAAGGACAGATAATTCTTTTTTCCAGAGGTCTACATGAATTCTTACAGAAGTTTCTCTTTCGTCCTTCCATTGCTGCATCTATTTCAGCTTTCTTCTCATCATCCCCAGCTCCCACCTTCCTTCTATTTCTTAGGCTCCCACTACCTGCATGAAATTAGGTCAAGGGCTACCTTGGGCCACAGGCTCCCCAACCTTGTTCTAAAAGCTTCAAATCACACTATCCATTTGAATGGCGCACAGGAACAAGCTGGCAGCTAGTGCTGCTCTTTCACAGTGTTGTGATAGGCTCTAGACTCAGTAAATGGCCTTGGCTATTCTATTATCAGTTAAAATTTCCAAATCCTCTCCATAGTCAAGCCCATGCAGTGTGCATTATAGTGGTCCAGCTTGGATGCTGTTAGAGCATGGATTACTGCAGCCAGAAGCAATCTCTCTCTCTCTCGGGTGGCAGCTGGATCACCAGCCAGAGCTGGCGAATGAAGCTGTGTGTTATGGATGCCACTTGGACAGCAGAACTGGATTGAAAATGATTTTGAAGCCATGCACGTGCTCTTTAAGTAGGTCATGTGAGCAAGGGGGGGAGAGCCATACATAAAGGCGCCCCTTCTTCGAGAGACTCTGGGTCCCACTCTCCACTCCTGCAGAAGAGCAGATGGGTCAATGCCAGGAGTGGAAAATGGATGCCAGGTAATGGAGATCATGAAGGAGAGCGTGTTGATATTATGACACAATAGCCGGCATGCATTAAAATGGGCAATCCAAGTTACACAAAATCACTTTGGTCAAATGAAGCATTCAAATGGCTAAAACATGCTTAGTCTAGCAATCAGAGATCTCAATCTCTGTTGTGTATCTTGCATGTGACAGGACCAAGCAAGGCATCCAACGTGGGATTCTGCTGGGACCTGCTACTTCTCCCCTGAGTTTGTTTGTTTGTCATTCTCTTGCCCATCCCAGCTTTCTTTTTCTGCAGAAACTCCAGTGTGTCCCATGGGTGGCGCCTTTTTCCATAGGTACAACTGAGAACAGAGCATTCCAGGCAAACGTCAGCTTGATGATGAATGGCATTCTGATGGTCCCAAGGAGACTTCTGTTTTTAAATTTTGTTTTACTGTGTTCAATAACCCATCTTCTCTTCAAGGAGCTCAGGGCAGTGTATGTGGTTCTTCCCCTCTTATCCTACACTAAATGCGGGATGGGCTGTGACTCAGTGGGTTAAGTGGGAATCATAGAGTTGGAAGGGATCCCAAGGGTCATCTGGTCTGTGGCTGGCATGCAGAAACTCCTAGATTCAGTTCTAGGTATCTGCAGGCAGGGCTGAGAAGGACTTATGCCTGAAACCTGGAGGGTCACTGGTGAGCAATACTGAACTTGGGGAACCAATGGGCTAACTTTATAAATGGTACCTTCCTCTGTTTTTCCTGATAACAACCTTGTGGTGTCAAGTCCAATGGAGAGATGGGGACTGGCCCATTGAACATCATGGCTGAGTGAAGATTTGAACCCATGTGTTTTTGGCACTAGGCTACAACTCGAACCACCGTACCATGCTGGCTTTCAGACTGCCACATGGCTACTTTCTCACCATGTTCTTCACAACTGGCTCAAGCCCATCGATGCCCATAAATCGCAGGCTGGCCAGGCACCTGCAAATTCATTTGGCTAATGGGCATGGTAACGTTTTATCACTCCAGGAGGCAGAAGAGGGAAGAGGAAGCTTGAGTCCTGCTCTCAATTGAAGTCAACTGGCCTCAGGAAGCAATGCCGCAAAAGCCAGGGGGCTCTGCTGCGGGTTGGCAGGGCCCCAGTCCTCCTTTCAGCACACTCTGTTATGTACCCTACAGGTGTCTTGCTCCGGCTTGCCTTCCTAAGGTTGCATGTTTCTGCAACAGGTGCCACAACCGCAGAAAATTGCCCAGGGGCAGCTCAAGAAAATCCATTCATCCATCAAGTCTTCACTTAAAACATGGACTGGAAGCCGAGATGTGGGGCTTTAACCCTTGCATCTGGGAGACAGATGTGGATGGGTTATTCAAGAATGGGAAGCAAAAGGGAGTTTGCAAATCAAAGGAATTGTTATAAGTGCCTCCCCACAAACACATATACCCCAAACCAAGCAGCCACTGCAGCCTATTCTATGCTTCTTTCAGGCCTCATTTCAGTAGGGAGGAGGGAGGCCCTATGGATGTTGGTGACCTCTGCCTAGTTAAAACAGAGTGCACATAGCACATTTTGTGCTGTTCCTAAATCTTTAAGAAAGGACCAGGATTTATCGATTGAAAGCCAAACAGAGTATGAGAGCGGAGACTCGGGTTTGTCCCCTGGTTGTGGGAGGGGGATTGTTGGGATCTGGTTATTTAAAGTGTCATAGGGAAGGACACAGGTGGTGCTGTGGGTTAAACCACAGAGCCTAGGACTTGCCGATCAGAAGGTCGGCAGTTCGAATCCCCGCGACGGGGTGAGCTCCCGTGGCTCGGTCCCTGCTCCTGCCAACCTAGCAGTTCGAAAGCATGAAGTGCAAGTAGATAAGTAGGTACCGCTCTGGCGGGAAGGTAAACGGTGTTTCCATGCACTGCTCTGGTTCTCCAGAAGCAGCTTAGTCATGTTGGCCACATGACCCAGAAGCTGTACGCCGGCTCCCTCGGCCAATAAAGCGAGATGAGTGCCGAAACCCCAGAGTCGGTCACAAGTGGACCTAATGGTCAGGGGTCCTTTACCTTTAGGGAAGGAAGGCAGAATCCCAAAGTGGGGTGGCTGAGTGGCCAGTGTAAGGGGGCCATCCCCTGTGCAGTATTTCAGCCTTGTGGGGATTCGCAGCTGGTCTATCCAGCATTTCCCACTTGCCTGGGCCAGCAGGGAAAGTGGTGGTGGGGAGGTCCTGCCATTTCTGCCCTCATCACACAAGCCATCCTTCCCTTCCCTGGAGCAGCAATTCCCGCTTTCACGGCAGCCCTGGGACTTTGACGGATGCAGTTAGCTAATTAAGCCTCCCAATTCCCTCCCCCCTTTCTTTACTGGCTCTTGGCGCAGCCTGTTGCCGCAGCAGCCCTCACAATTAGGATGCCTGAGGTGTTTTGACCGCTGGGATCTGGTCCAAATTCCTTGCTGCCAGGATGATCTGGGAGGGAGTGGCTGGCACCCAGAACATCCCTAGCTCTCCGACTCCGGGCTTTCAGCCAGCAAGTCTCATCCTTTGCCTTCATCAGCAGGTCTCGGAGCTATCTGTTGACTAGGCTCGGGTTAACTGTGGGGCCTGGGGTTGGGGGGGGGCAACTCTGCCTTGCTGCTTCAGGTGGAATTCATGCCAGGAGTGGCTGCTTGCTTTCCCACCTCCTTCTCCTTGACAGTGAGATATGCTACCTTGGACATTGGTGTGGCTTTTCCTCTTTGCTTTGCATCCTAAGGAAAGTAGGAAGCTGCCTTATACTGAGTCAGACCAATGGTCTATTTTGCTCTGTGATGCTGACACAGGCTGGCAGCGACCCTCCAGGCCTGCCTGGAAATGCTGGGGGTTGAACCTGGGGCTGCATTGCAGGGGGTTGGACTAGATGACCCTTGGGGTCCCTTCCAACTCGACAATTCTATGATTCTATGACCTTCTGAATGCAAAGCAGAAGCTGTCCCACTGAGCTTTATATGTTGCTATTTTGAATCATGTCTGGTGCTTCTGCTTGCCATCAGGAAGAACGAGATGCTATTCTGAGCATTGGAGCCCCAGTTTAGAACTTCTGGCGATTTCATTCAGTCACTCTTCTGGGTACAGATGCGTCAATATAGGCATGCATTGGCCCATTGGCTTGAAAGCATTTCTTCGTACCCAGAAGGGTCAAGAAGAATACATTCATTGATGCCTCCCTCCCCTTGCTTAGGTAAAGAAGGGTGTTTTTCCCTTTACTGATCTGTTAAAAAGGCAGCAAAGTGCATGGGTTGTTTTTTTTTTTGTACCTGGAAATAAATTAAGCAAGTTGCTTTTTCTTTGTTGGAAAAGGGCTTTTGATGGGGCACAATTCACCTGTTTCCCCCCTGCTTTGCTAAAATGCTTCTGTATTTTTGTTTTGCAGACCAAACCAGTGGCATTTGCTGTGAGGACAAACGTGGGCTACAATCCATCTCCCAATGACGATGTGCCGGTCCAAGGCCTGTCTATTTCCTTTGAACCCAAAGACTTCCTTCATATCAAAGAGGTACAATGTGTCACACAGGACCCTGGTCTCCTGTCCCCCACCCCGTTACTCTTTAAGTTGTGCAGCAGCTGGGCAAGAAAGGGGCTGTGAGAGGCTCTCTTGAGCATCTCCCTTCTCTGCATGGGGTCCAAATGTGCGAGCGACAGTGAGGGGTGATCTGTTGGGGCAAGCTGGCGGTCCACCCACTCACACATGCACACCCACAAGCTACAGCTTCATCTCTCCATGCCCGCTTTGGGTGTCTCACGCTTTGGATGTTTTGCCCCCTGCGCTCCAGAAATACAACAATGACTGGTGGATCGGACGCCTGGTCAAAGAAGGCTGTGAGGTTGGCTTCATCCCCAGCCCTGTCAAGCTGGAGAACATGCGGATGCTGCAGGAGCAAAAGATGAGGCAGCACCGACTCAGCTCCAGGTGGGTTGGGATGAAGTGGGATGCAGGAGGAGGAGGCTGCTGAGCCACCCAGAATCCACTGCATACAGGGTCCCACATTCAGCCCCTGCCATCTTCAGGGAATGGCTGTCTTGTAGCAGGGCTGAAAAACCCTCTTCCTAAAAAGCTCCTTGGCTTCTACCAGGCATGCTTGGCAATACCTGCCAGGATAGACTTTAGGCCACATTCACACCATACATTTACAGCACTGGGAAACCACTTTAAACAGTCATGGATTCCCACCCACCCCCCCAATTATTCTGGGAGCCATGGTTTGTGAAGGGTGCTGAGAATTGTTGGAAGGCCCCTTTATTCGACTTCCAGAGCTACAGTTTGCACAGATTTATTAATTAGTTCCTCTTCCCAGGGAGCTCTGGGAATTGTAGATCTGGGAGAGGAAATGGAGGCCTCCTAACAACTCTCAGCACCCTGAACAAACTGCAGCTCCCAGGTACCGTCCTTGCATAGCCAACCTTCCTCCACAATCAAGAGAGCTAGCAACTTGCTTTCATCAAAACAAAAGAATTCCGAGGACTTTATCTACATTGACCTTAAGAGATTTTGTGTTAGAGTGAATAGATGTCTGTCAATTTCAGACCATCTTTCCTCTGGAGGCCTGTGGCTGTTTTCTGAAACGTCCTCTCCAGAGTAAAACTAAAATGAAACGGACATGCATCCCACTATTCTAACACACCCTGACCCTGACTGCAAAATGTGGATCTTGAAATCCATGTGGAAGTCTCTCTAAGTGGATGCCTGATCCTTGACCTAGCCTTGTCTGTCCGTTGAAGACAAATGGGAGGCCAACTCTGCCTTAGCCTCCATGCAATTTACACCAGTTCAACCCTATTTCATTCTTGTAGTCCCCATGGCTAATGCCAATTCATTCTGTGTAGTGTCTAAGGGATGGGACACTTGACAGCTGAGCTAATCTGAAACTGGAGCGTAGATCAGTAGTGCAAGTCCACTGTGTTAATGGGGCAGAATGCCATGTTGATGGATGTACATCCAAGGACTATGAAGCTTTACTGGGATACAGAAGTTTACTTTTTTTGCAAGTGAAAAGGTGCTGAGCATGGACTCAGAGGCTCTTCCCCCTTGCCACAGCTCTTCCCCACCCCAAAACCTCTTCCTGTTTCCCTGCTTCACTTTAATGGCTCTTCTGTCTTGCAGTAAATCAGGAGACAACTCCACCTCCAGCCTGGGAGATGTGGTGACTGGCCCCCGGAGACCCACCCCGCCTGCCACTGGTAAGGCTACTCACGCCCAACAGAGAAAGGCATAACTGCCACCACCATCCCAGATGGATACTTTTCCATCTTTCTGTGGGACGAGGCGTGTTTGAAGCATCTGAAGGGCATTGCTCACCCTCACCTGCAACAGAAAGAGGTGGTCGTGTCAGACTCTTCCAGTTCATCCTGTAGGTGGGGATGTCCTATTTGAATCCTCTCCCCCCTTTTTTAAAAAAAAATCTCCTTGCTGATCAAAAACTAATGCAGGGGGGAGAGGAGGTTCCAGTTCAGCCTGCTCCCTGCTGTGCTAGTTCCTCCCCCCCCCCCCACTGTTGCAAGGAAATATTTTTTAACTTGGGAGGATTTTCAAAAACAAAACACAGGATCCCCACATCTACAGTCTGAAGCAGTACAATCCACACCATCAGTTCAGGGCTCTACCACTTTAATCCGCGTACAGACAAGGCCTAAATTCTGTCCTAATAGCCACATGGCAGGCTTCTCATTGCCTAATTGCTGCCTCCTTCTCCCCCGTATGCTCATATACTGTGGAAATTTGGAGTTTTCCATTCCATTCCATTTATTTATTTATTTATGTTCCTCTTCTGGATACACGAATCAGTTTATTTCTTTTATTTCTGGTTGTTCCCTCATTTGTTTTTCTCACCCTATTCCATTAGTGCTTTTCATTCTTTGGTTCTTGTTGTTGTTGCATTTTCCCCCTGTTTTGTTTCCCCCCCTTTCCTCCCCTACCTTTTATCTCCTCCCTCCCTCACCCTCCATCCTCCTCCCAGGTACCTTGGACATGACTAACTTAGCTTATGACCCAGACGCCCTTGACTTAGAGGAGGAGGAGGAGGCCACCGAGGAGAACCAACGAACCCCCAAGACTAGTGTTAGCAGCGTCACCACGCCCCCCTCCACCACCAAGCGCCGCCCCTTCTTTAAGAAGGTAATGGTGCCCCCTCTTGCCTGGCACCTGCTTGCTGTGCCATCCTAGGTATGCCTGCCTGTGTGTGTAGGCTTGTTTCTGCCCAGAGATCGAGCGCTTTCGTGCAAATGATGGGGGTGATAGGAGTGGCGTGTTCTGGAAGTGGGTTTGTGGTCCTGATCTCTCATTGGCAGAGAGCATAAGCTGGGGGGATGCACATTCCGAGCCGATCTGCTGCATATTACGAGGAAAAGACCAACGTGTACTACGGTTATAAAGTGTATACGCGATTGTGTTTGTCACCTGCCTGAGCATACAAAAGGCGTGTTTCAGAAGGGTATGTTCCAGTGATCACACATTCTCCATCCTTGTATGAGTTAAAAGATGCATTGGCAACCAACTCATACCCTCACTTGGGCTTTGGTGGAAGATGTGTCCCATATAATGTGCTTCCTTTCCCCTCTCCCCCCTGGCCTTACGCATCCTGAGAAATCTAGTAATTGAACAGTGACCCCTCTGTCCCCTGGGAAGGATAATAATGTAATGCTCTAGTAATCCTCTTCATCCAGAAATGACTGTGGGCAGGATTCCTGCATTGCATTGGGTTGGACCTTCCAACTCTACAATTCTATGATTCTCCCATTTCTTTTTCCCAGTGTAAACCCTTGAAAGTCACAGGTCCCAATCCCCCCTCCATGGGAAACATGCAAGTGGTATGTTCCATGTGTCCCTCCCATATGTGGATACTAGGAATGCTCCACTCCTATAATCCATTCTCCTCACCTGTGGAAATTATAGCAATGGAACGTTCCAGCATGGGAGCGAAGTGAGTGAAATAGTCAAGCCATTTCCCTTCGCTTGGACGTAGGACTGCAGCGCCCCATAAGAAAGCATGAATATGGGATGTTCCAGTGGCTTTCACATAAGAGGGGCATTCCTCCTGGTGACCCACCCTTGCCCTGTAAATTCCATCCAGGTATGGCATTTGCCTCCACAGGCCCTTCTTTTCCTCCTTGCGGATCAAATAGTGGGAGGAAGTTGTCCGGAGGGAGGCTGGTTGCTAAGCAACCTCAGGGTTCAAGGTGGGAATCCTCAGAGGGCCAAACTGTATTTTACACTAGGAGCCCAAGGGTGCTTTGCAGCAGAGAAGGGAGTGCTTTCTCTGCCAGCCACCTTACACCTGAAACTTCCCTCCGCAGAGTTGCAAGGATCTGAAATACAGGTGGATGGGAAGAAGTTTGTCTGGGTGGAGGGGAGCTTTGAGTGTGGAGTGGCTGGCTGCAAAAGTACCAGGGCCTCTCTCCAGCACCGCTTCTTCCCTGAAAAGTGCCTCCTTCCTGACAGCTCCCTGCGGTGGCAAAAGGAGCCACCAGGCCAATCACGTTGCCGACGGTGGCTCTGGCCAATGTGTCATTTGGGTTTTGAGAGGTTCCTGGGCATGCCACCATGAGCCACGTCTGTCCACCAGGGTGGGCCAGGACAGCATGGAGGAAAAGGACGCAATTCTAAATCAAGGCAAGGTTGTTCCCTGCCCAAACTCTGAAAAGCCGCCACCTTTCTGCTTTTCTCAGCACTAGTTTTCTCTCTCTCTCTTGTGCCTTGCCTGTGCTTCTGCTGGAGTGAGCTGTCAGTAACACGCATGCCTTGTTTGTTTTCTCTTGCCTGTCTCTCCTTTCCCCTCCCCTGTGTCCCCACCCCACCCATTAATGGCGATCACTGGACATAGCCAAGCAGAAGCAGAAATCGGTAAGTAAGCTTACGAAATAATCAGACGAGATGACAGCGGTGGCGGCTCCCTGTGGGCCCTGCCTAATTTACCCAGCGGGCTTTTCCCCTGCGAAGTTGGCAACTGTGAGGAAGCTGACCATGAAACCCCAAAGTTTGTGTGTGAGATTTGCTCTCCCCCCCCGCCCCCGCAAGATACAGGCCCCTGTTTCTTTAAGGTAAGCTCAGAAGCAAACCTTGGTTGCAGCTGCATGAAGGTCTTCTTCTGTTAGGTCCATCTTGAATGTCCAGGCTAGTGTTGGATCTGGAAGGCTGAGATCCCTCAGCAACCCTTCTTCCTGCCACCCACAACTCAGCTTTCCTCCCCCATGCCCACAAAATGAAGGTGCTGTCCCCCCTTTAGAAGAATCGTTGAAATTGCTAGGCTTCCAAAAAACAGTGGTGCCTGCAGCGCTGATGTAGCCTGGATCTGGAGCAAGTCTAATGTCTTCTTCTCTCTCCTTTCTTCTCAGGCGGAGCATGTGCCACCGTATGACGTGGTTCCTTCCATGCGGCCCATCATTCTTGTAGGCCCATCCTTGAAAGGGTATGAGGTGAGGCATTTAGAGAGTTCATGGGGAGAGAGTTAGGGCATGCATAGAAAGTAGGGCTGAGAGGCCATGTTGCTTTCCAAGAGAATTGGGCAAGGGGAGCCAGGAGGGCTGCCATAGATTGGCATGTGTCCTCATCTCCCAGACCATCATTCAAGCCCTGTCCAGGATATCTGCCTGGCAACAGGACTGACATGTCCTGAGTTGCTGTGGCTCCTCCCAATTCTGTTCCTTTGAGCTTACCTCCTACAGGTCGTCCCTCCTATCTCAGCCATCAGTGCCCTCTCATTGATTGGCTCCTCACTCTGTTCTTAGTAATCCTCTGGGTCTCTCTGCCAATGGGTGGGCATCCAGCTGTGACTTTAGCACCTACAAGTCTGAAGTGGTGGAAATAGGTAGGGAAGCTTGGGGGTGGGTCTCCATTTTGATGAGCCTTTACCAAGAACTAGCAGAAGGAAGATGCACCCTGATTTCTTCCCCACCCACGTTTATGCATGTGACTCTTTCGATTTCTGACTTTTCTTCTTCTCCTCCTCTTCTCTGTCTTTCTGCCCAATCCCAACCCCCTTTACCTTCCCAGGTGACGGACATGATGCAGAAAGCTCTGTTTGATTTCCTGAAACGCCGATTCGATGGCAGGTGTGAGCAGAAGCCTTGGGGATGGGTGGGGATCTGATGTCTTCCGTTTGTTCTGCGATCCTTGTAACAAGATCCTGGTGCTGGAGTTACCATAGGGGAAACCTGAATGAAGACCACAGGAAATGGAGGAGGGGGCAGATTTTCTGCCTCCCACAATAAGTTTTATGCCGTCCCCCTTACCATTGGTCCATTTCCAAATGCTTCTGGTCCCCATTTCCTGGACACGAAGACCAGAAACTTTTGCTAAGGTGCTCCAGTTTTTGTGAATACACAGCTAGATCCAATTGCCTTGAAAACAAAAACAAAAAAGCTGTTTTCCTAGTTCATGAAGTTGTAGGGCACTTGCAGACTGTTGCTATTTTCAGGTGGGATTCAGTCACACACCCTCAAATTCAGGCTGAGCAATTATAGTTGTTTGGAAGGTCTCGTGCAACAACCCCACCTTCCCAAAAGATCAGATATGCTGCAATAAGGAGGGGGGATGCACTGCACACTGCACAGTGTGGGATGACACTTGCTTTGATGCAGCGCCATCTAACCTCCCCACAAGCAAATTGGAATAAATGCTTGATAGAGAGGAAGCACCCTTATAACCTGAGGTTTTGGGGGTTTGTTAAGTGGACACTAAAAGGACTAAGCTTTCACTAGTACTGTAGGTAGTTAAGACTCCCCGTGTTGTAGCACAGCGACAAGGATCAAAGAGTCCTGGTAATCAGGGATGCCTGTGGGGAATGACCTCTGCCCCCTTGAGCCTCTACTCCTGTCTTTCACAGAATATCTATCACACGTGTGACAGCTGATATCTCCTTGGCCAAGCGCTCGGTCCTCAACAACCCCAGCAAACACACCATCATCGAACGCTCCAGCACCCGCTCTAGCCTGGGTAAGGCTGCGCTCAGACCTTGGGAGAAAAGCTTGGCTCTTTGCCATCTCTTCACATTTTCTCCCAAGGCCTTTCCCGCGTGGGAAGAGGGAGGCAAAAAGGGTGACTTTGCCTTTGTGATTGCATGGCACCTGACACCTTGCACGGCCCCCGTTTTCAAAAGCTTTTCTTAGCCTGCCTTTCCTCTGATCTGTATCAGCCAGGAGCGGCTTTTCCTGGATGCCTCTGGGTTTCCCATAATGCTTTGCGGCAATGCCCCTTCTCTCCCTGTCCCTGGCAGAACTCCTCTTACCCGATCATGAACTTATTTATACATGTACGTATTAGTAAGCCACGCTGTGTTATAAAATACCACAAGGAGGTGTACGCAGCGCTGTGCACGTCAACCACATCAGTAAGAGATGGTTGGCAGGGAACGTCAGGTTTGAAAAGCCCGTCTGAATAACACCGTTTTTAGAAGCCACTGCACCCGCCAAACCTCTATTGGCAAGGAGTTCCACAGGGAGCGCCTGTCATACTTAAATACTTGCCTCTTGGTAAAGACCAGCCAGCAGTGACGTAGCGTGGGGAGGGCGGCTAAATTTATGAGGGGGCAGAAGCAGGTGCCCCCACAACAGGCTCCCTCACTGAGGCTGGAACCACACTCAGGCCAGGCCTTCAAGGCTGGGGCAGCCCCTCCTTCTCCTCATGGCCAGGTGAAGGGATACCTGGACGTGCCCTGCTCCTGGACCAGCTGAGAAGGTGGGAGGGCGCCAGTGCCGCCCACCGAGGAGGAAGGAAGAGGAAGGTGGGAAAGCACTGCTGGAGACTCCCTTGGTTAGACACTGGCCAGAGAAGGGACTGACAGCTTCCCAGTCCACCAGGGCGGCCCAATGCTTGCCTCACCCTGGGTGCCGGCAACCCATGCTATGCCCCTGACAGCCAGATCTCAGGGGCAGGTGGGACCAACAAAACTGCCCCATTAGAAGGAAGACCTCTTCTTGAGCTGGGCACCAGGGCTGTTTCCGTATCATGAAATATCTGTATCCTGGGTTGGAGAGGGACACACTTGGGTGTGCTTGTGAGAGTCTCTCCCCCCACCCCACCTCCGCATCATAATGCAAAGTGTGGAAACTGTTCCCAAAAGTCCAGGTTTCGGTGTCAGAAGTGTTGTCCGCGTTTGAGTTCATCATGGGATATGTTGCCATCTTGTCTAAACCTACCTCCGTGCATGGGGCAAGGGGAGGGGAAACAGGATGCTCCTTAATTAATACCTCAGCCGCCTTCTCTGTTTTCAGTCCCCCGTCCCCCCCCCCCCGCTATGGCATCAGACTTTGGGGGATCTTTTTTTTTTCTTTTTTACTGCTCCCCAACAAATCCAACTCACTCTTCTCTCTTTTTTTTCCCCTCCTCCCCCGCTTCCCACAATTTTCTTTCCCCCGTGTCTGTGCCTCCTCTTCCTTTCTCTGCTCCTGATACAGATGTCTTGGGTACGTAACCTTTAGCCCCCGCAAGCTCTCGGTTGCCCCCCACCCAGTGCAAATTTAACTTCTTTAACTTCCCCCTCCTCAGAATGGGAAAGATGTTTTGTTGAAATGGAAAAAAAGATCGAAAACAGCTTTTCCTTCTGTTAGAGGAGGGGGAGGGGGGAATTTCAAAAACACAGAACAAAAGAGCACCTATGCTTTGGCTTCGCCCAAAAGCGATAAGTTTTTTTTTTTGTTCGTTTTGAAATTCGCCCTCATGTACTGTATGGGAAGTGAAAAAATGGTGAGTCACCACCGTCTTAGTGTTCTCACTATCTTTTCAATTGCTAGACTCTTTACCAGAGTACTGTATTTTTTTAACCTGAACTTAAAATGTGGAGTTGCTGTTGGGGGTGGGGGGTGGGCAGGTGAATCAGAATATTATAAATGAAAATAAGTAAATAACGTTTCTTGCTGGGGAAATTGCTCAGGGACTGAAAAAGGAGAGGGGACTATTTTTTGTTCCGGTACAGCCTAGTTAAGAAATTTAGCTAAGCAATCTCAGAGCCCATTGATGTTAACGAGAAGAGAAGTACAGGGCAGTCCTATACATGTCTACTTGGAAGGCAAGACCAATTAAGTTCAGTGGGACTTACTCCCTGGTATGCGAGTATAGGATGGCAGCCTAAATCACATATCGGCTCCTCATTGGAACCCATGAGATATTCAAAATTCTGGGCTTTGGCTGGATCTTGCCCCACTTTTAACGTGAAGGTAACTAAACTGTGCAATTTATTGCATGGTTTCTTACTGGGGGAAAAGTGAGGGGCACTCAGCACAGTCCATTGAAAGGAACTTATTGTTTATCTTTCCTCAAGGTGGTGCACGTAGTTCCCTCCCTTTTGATCCTCACAACTGTCCTGTGAGGTAGGCAAGACTGAAAGAGAAAGGGACTGGCCCAAGGGATTTGAATCTGGGTCTCTCCAGTCTGACACTCTGACCACTACGCCACACTGGATCTCATGCTGGGACCTGCAGGGCCGCATCCCCAAGAACACAAGATGCTCCTGGGCAGCCATAAGAATCCCATATCCAGCGTCCCACATGCAGAGCAGCTAGTGGACAGCCCAAAGTAGCACCCAAAGTACCTGTAGACAATCTTTTGGGGGGTGGGGCAGCCAGCCACTTTACGCATGCCTGAAGTAGAAAATCAAAATGGCACCTGCACAACACACACACACATACTTTCACTAAGGAACAACCCATGGGGATGTTTTCCTACGCAATCCCCATTGAAATGAATGGGTGCTGCGCAGTTCCTGTTCATTTCATTGGCTCTTGCACAGGGGAATGGAATGCATTCTCCAGGCCAGAAATTTGCCTCCCTTTTAACCGTGCCCAAAATCTTGCGGCCACCACTTCCCCTTGCTTTGCCATAGTACTGCCACGAATCAAACACAGATCTGTGGACGGGGCTGACTGTTGACTATTCAGGAGCCCAATGAATGGTTTTCTGTCCGCGGGGACAGAAGAGTTGACCTGCATATTTTTTGTTACAAGTGCAACATTTTGCATACATGCTACAACCTGTAGGGTCTTAACCTGCAAGTGAGAATAATGAATTATGGCGAAATCTGCGCAGGCTGCAGAAGTAGAGCCTTTAATGCTAAACAGGATCTGGAATAGCGAAAGGGAGGTATGAATGGTGCTGCAGTTTCTTTGCATAGCGATGTTGACCATGTCTTCCTTTCCCTGCCGCTTGCCCTCTGCCTCCATAGCTGAAGTGCAGAGTGAGATTGAGCGCATCTTTGAGCTGGCCCGCACCCTGCAGCTGGTAGCCCTGGATGCAGACACCATCAATCACCCGGCTCAACTGTCCAAGACCTCATTAGCGCCAATTATCGTCTATATCAAGATATCCTCCCCCAAGGTGAGCAGCCTTTCTCTTTACTTCCACCCGATCACACTAACGGTACTGGGATTAGGGAAGAGGTTGGCAGAGGATCTTAGATTGTTTTGGTGTCAGATATAATTCAGAACTCAATAGGAGTGAGGGTAAGAACAGCAGATTAGAAGGCAGGGCTGGCTCAAAGCGTTTTGCTGCCTGAGGCAAAGGACAAGATGGCACCTCCCCCAAGTCATGCACAGAAGTCAATTGGACTGGCAGTTTTATCTTACTCCAATGCTGGTGAAAGGACAGTGTCTTCCTCAGCACTTGAGGGCAGCAGAATAATGTAGGGGGCATAAGGCAGATCACATGGCACTCATAGCTCTGGCCACACACCCCTCCTCAGCATCTGCCGCCTGAGGCTGCTGCTTCACTCTGCCTCCTTGTAGGGCCGACCCTGTCTGAAGGCTTGTATGTGTAGCTACAGGAATGCCAAGCTAAACAGATCCATCGCTCATTTCCCTTGTGGGCTAAAAATGTGAGTTTGCACTGAGCAGACATACATTTATGAGTGCAAAATCCATAGTTTGGGAGGGGGCTCCCTGCCACACTTCAGGTGTGCTTCAAATGCATATTTGAGTGTCTGGTAGAAAATACCACACTCTGGGGGTTTGGGGGTGGGGCTCTTTTTCTTTTTAAGAAAAAGGCGGCCACTGCTAAAAGGCAAACAAGGGCCAAACATACATGAATATCATGTAGTAATGTAATGTAATTAACATCTCTTGCAAGTTAGTTTTTACAAAACCTGGCAAGTGTTAAACGACCACCGTAGGTTTCTCAGGAATCTGCCTTAGACCAGTGATCAGCCCTTTGGTTAATCTAGTTCAGGGTTGTCCACAAGAACTGGGAGCAGCTCTCCAGGATTTCAGACAGGCTCCTGTCGCCACTCTACATGGAGGTGCCAGGGACCTTTGCATGCAAATTGTGTGCTCAGACACTGAGCTGTGGCCCTTCCCCTCTGCAAAAATAACATTAAATTTTGGAATTGTTAATTGCTGTATGAGGAAAAATATGTAAATCAACCCTCAAAAGATCCAGATCTCATGAGAGTTGAAGAACAGCCCGCACTTTGTATGCTTCCTTCCTGCCTGTTACGTATGTCCTGTTCTTGCAATCGCATTTTCAAAGTTATTTTTGCCGCTATGAGAGCTAGAACTTTTAAGGCTGCGTGAGTTACCCACCTTGGACTCCTTCCTTCCAGCCTGATTATTAGGCAGAGTGAGGCAGCTGCCTCAGGCTGCTAAGTGTCATGAAACGGTGATGAATTGTCATTTATCGTTGTTGCGATTTTTACTGCCAGGGGAGGGGGTGGTTCTGTTTCAGGTGCCAAGCAACTTGGCTAACATTGAGGAGCGATGCATTTGGATTGGGGGTGGGAGCGAGGGAGGGTTTTGCCTACTTCTTGGGTTGATTTGATCCTGTGGGTGACAAGTTTCACTGTGTTCATGAAGGCTTCCTCCCCGGTAAGGATCACACACCCTAAAACATTTCCTGAGGCGAAGTCCTTGTTAGGCTAGCTGCAGTGGTGTGGCAGGCTAGGAACAGGAGACCCTTTGGCAGGGCCCTCCTTCTTTCCAGTCCTGTTCCCGGCCCCCTTGGGCACCCTAACATTTCTTCTCTCCCTCTCCCCCAATGTCTTTACCCAACAGGTGCTGCAGAGACTGGTGAAATCGAGAGGCAAATCTCAAGCCAAGCACCTGAATGTGCAGATGGTGGCATCGGACAAATTGGCGCAGTGCCCCCCTGTGAGTCCTGTGGTGCATCTCCCTCGTGCTCTTTTCCAGCCCACTTCATCCTGGTGCCCTCCTGACTACACCTCCCATCAGCCCCTGCTGGTGCAAACCCCTGCTCATTTCACACACACACACACACACACACACACACACCAATACAAGCGCTTGCGCTGCCTTCCGAAAGCCGCGTAAAAGAGGTACTGAGCTTTGGGAAGAAGGCATGAGGGCTCTGACTAGGTCTTAGAGTCCTCCTTCCCAAAGCCTAGTTAGTGCTTTCCTGGCTTTGGGAAGGGGGTGGGAGGGCGCCAGGACCCTGCCCAAAGCCTTGCATCTCCTTCCCTAAGCCTGGTGTCTCTCTCAGCTAAATTTGGGAAGGCAGTGCAAGGGCTGGGTGGGTGGGTGGGTCAAATTTTGGCCTCGTTCCCCTCTCCCACACAACAAGGCAGTGCGCGGCCTGCAGGTTCCATGTCAAAGTACTCTTGCGGCCCACATGGTATGAAAAGTTGGCCTGCCCTGATCTAGCTCCATATTGTCTACACTGATGGCCGTGGCTGTCCAGGGTTTCAGACAGGGAGTCCTATCTGGAGATGCCAGGAATTGAACCTGGGGTCTTCTGCATGAAAGGCAGGTGCTCTACCAATAACCCTTGGCCCTTTCCCAAAATTGTGGTCCAGCAACATCTGGAGGGCCACAGGTTCCCCACCCCTGACTTAAGCAGATGCTACACAATCATTATGCCAGCCCACTAGCAACTACCATTGCAACCCTATCCAACCCATGCCTCCACTCCTGGTCCCCTGCCCCTATCATTTTGCACTCGCTCACAGGGCTAAATCCTTCCCATTCCCCGCCCTCTCTGTTTCTGCAGGAGATGTTTGACATTATCTTGGATGAGAACCAGTTGGAAGATGCCTGTGAACACCTGTCCGAGTACCTCGAAGCCTATTGGAAGGCCACGCACCCTCCCAGCAGCAACCCGCCCAATCCGCTGCTGACCCGCACCATGGCGACTGCTGCCTTGGCTGCCAGCCCCGCCCCGGTCTCCAACCTCCAGGTACAAGTGCTGACCTCGCTCAAGCGCAACCTGGGGTTCTGGGGAGCGAGGGGCAGCCTGGACCAGGGGCTGAGCGGAGCTGTCCGGGTGGAGGAGCACGAGCTGTAGCTTTCGGGGAAACCCGAGATAGTTGTTCGGAAATGAAGAAACGAGCACAGGGAAGCCTTGCTAATGAGGGCTCCCCCTTACCTACAAAGGACTTGTCAGTGCTGCTGTTCAGTCAAGGCGATCTCTCTTTCGCCTCCCTGCCCCTTCTCCGAAGCTGTCCTGCTAAAGTACACACACAAACACCCCTTTCCCTCGCAATCTGACTTTGATTAAAGGATGACCTCGGCGAGTCACCAGCACATCTCTCTCGCCCTACACCCCGCCGTCTCTTATCTTTCGAGCAATGCTTCCTAGGGACATCAGAGAAGCGTCTCAGCTAGGAAAAGTGGGTTTGTCGTTTAGGGCGGGTTCTGTGGGCTGCTCTGAACCAGATCTAAAATGGCATCACAAAGGAAGGATTTTCCTCCACCTGCTCATGGGAAAGAAGTCAGTTGGCTTTCCAGTGTGCTATGTGAATGCAGAGCCTGGTTTTCAGCGGGGGCAGGTCCATTATGCTGCCGAGTTGCCCTCAAAGACCCGTTTTGGCCCTGCAGGTAGTGCCTCCCTCCCACTCCCATCTGCCACACATTCTTTGTTCCATTCTCTTAGCACACAGGGTGAATTTGGGCAACTGCTTCGCAATCCACTTTTCTAACAAGCAGTGATTTCTAGTCACCAAGTTGCAGGAACCCACTGGACTAAAGGGGTCTGTAAGGTGACAGGGTTTGTACGGGGCCCCACTTTGGATAATCTGGCAGGAGCACCAAGTCTATGACCTTATGGATCCCTTCACAATAACCATGGTCTGCTGAGTTGCTGCCACCTAGTGACAGGAAGTCATGTTTCTTGGGAGGCTGGGGAGCAGTTGTGGCTGCAGTAAATTGCATCGGTGGTTATACCTCATCAGGATAACCTTGTCCGCTTGATTCCCATGGCCTGCCAGAGGTGGGTGACTTTTTACATTGACAGTGCCCCGCATCGTTGCCTAAGCCTTGGCCAAGTCAAGGACCGATTGCCAAGCATAGCAAGCTGAACAGAGCTCCATCAAACTCATCTCTCTTGTGAGCTAAAAAGAAGAAGAAGAAGTTTGCACTGAGCAGAAATAGATTTATTACTGCAGAATCCACTTTTTTCTTGGGTGGCATGATGCCTGCCCATCGTTCAAATGTGAATTTGGACATGCTTCAAATGCATGTTTGGGTGTATGATGGGAAACCCCATGCTGTTTCTGTTGTGTCACCTTTTAAAAAGAAAAGGGCAAAGTGGTTAAACAGAAGTGACCACCATTCCCCCAAAGGTGTTTAGCTATCAATAAGTTTACCACCTTCACATCTGGCTCCCAGTGCTGTTTTATTGCATGGTGTGGTAAGTGACTGCTGTTGCTGCTGCTGCTTTTACGTATAAATACCAGCAGGTGGTCCAGCTGATCAGCACAGGTGGTTCTGTATGTGTTCTGTGTGATGCTAACTGTCTATCTTCTTATGTCTTAACTAACTGATGAGTTCTCAAACAGGGTGATGATGAGCCTCTCTCTAACATGGTGCAAAGCAGTTAACCATGGGAAGCCCCAATTTCTCTATAACCTTGGAGGAGGCGAAGGGGTAGCTTGAGATGCAAGTTGCCACCTCTTGAAACCATATTTTGCTGCAGGGATGGGGAACCTGATGTTGTTGGACTCTAAATCCCATCAGCCCTAGCCAGCACAGCCAGTGGCCAGGGAGAGCCCCAGGCTCCCCATCCCTGCTCTATTCTATACATTGTGCTCTGCACCACGCATAGAATGCCATGCCTAAAGAGCAATTTCAGACAAAAGTGGCAGGTCACCATTCTGAGGATCTCTGCCTGGAACTGTCCCAAACTCCCCGTCCTCCCCATCTCCCTCTTTTGCAAGTGTTTTTTGGCTTCTGCTAGTAGGGATGGGGAAGACATTCAGTTCAATTCACATTTGAAGCCAAAACCTTAAGAAATTTGCACTTTCCAAGAAAATTTGAGAACCGAAACCCAGCCAGCCTTCAAGATTCACACTTGCACGGATTTGGCAATGCAGTCCTCCACTTGAACAAAGATTGCAAAAATGTGTGCATTAGGGGGACACGTGCACAATATATTAGTGAAAATAACACAGTAAAATGCAATCTGTTAGGAGAAATTGCTTACAACGATGTGTCCATTTATCTAAATTCAGTACAAAAAAAGGTTTATTAGGAGAAATTTGCACCAACCTGTTGGAGAAGTTTTATGAGGATTTAAAAAAAACACAATCTTCAAATGGCTGTAGAAATGTAGAGATCTGAATTTGAGATGGGGAAAAGTGAGGAGCTGAAACCAATGGATCTTTCCATCCCCATCTGTGAGGGGGTCTAAAATCCATGCTTTTTTGTTTTTGTTTTTGACCTTCTTAACTCCCAGGTCCAGAAAAAAACGCCTTTCTTTGCAGGGGAAATTTCCCCTTAGATTTCATGAGGTTTGCCAGGCCAGAGTTTGAGAGCCCCTTGTGCTAACCTGTTTTGGGGCGCTGCAGCTGCTGCTGCTGCTGCTGTGTCGTGGCCGCACTAACTCTTGTCTCCTTTCTCCCTTTCTCATGCATGGTGTGTGGTGAATGCCTCTTTCCACCAGGGACCCTACTTAGTGCATGGGGAGGAGCCGCTCGACCCAGAGCACACCAGCCTGCACGACTATGCGGGGCAGCTGGCTGGGCATGGCCAGATCCGCGCCGCGCCGCCCCCCTCCCACTTTGCCGCCCGGGGCCTTTCCCGTCAGGACACCTTTGATTCGGAGACGCAGGGCAGCCGCGACTCTGCGTACACTGACCCAGCGGATTCCTGCATGGACATCGAGACCGACCCCTACGAGGAGCCGGAGCCTCGTCGCACCCACTGCCTGGGCCACCGCCGCCTCCAGGGGTCCTGGGAACCCGAGGAGCCAGAGCAGCAGCGGAGCCACCTCCGGGGGCACCGCCACCCCCAGCGCCAGGGTTCCTGGGAGGCCGAGGAGCCCGACCGGCAAAACCACAACCGGTCTCTCCGTGGGCACGGCAAGGGGCGGGAGCGCTATTGCCAGAGCGAGGAGGAGGAGGGCTTGCGCCACAACCACAATGACGTAGAGGACTGGGCGCGAGACACCTATATCCGCTAAGGCCCTGAGGGGCAGGGCTTTTATCCGCTGAGGGAGAGGCCTCTTCCCACGCAGAGCCTTGGGGACAGGAGCTGTCTTCAGTTGCCTGGCACCCGGGGGTAGGTCCAGCCTCTCCGGAGGATTGTCCTTCACCCACCAAGCGGTTTGTGGGCAGGCATATAGCGTTTGCGCCTCAGAAGCAGCACCATCGCTGGCCGGGTCTGCGTGAACTCCCTTTCCTTGCCACCCTTCTCTGGGGACACCTTCCACCTCCCCACCCGCTCCTCTGCCTTGCCATTTGTGCCAACAACCTCTTGGACCACCCTCGTCCTGCCAGCCAGCCAGCCAGCACTGCCTGGCCTTTTCCCTCAAGGTCACAAATAATCACATATACCTTAAATAACGAAAGCTCCCCTCTCTCCTCAGAGGCCCCCTTGTGGACCTGGAGAGGGAGAGGGCCAGTCTCCACTGGTGCCTGGAATCACCCCAACACTTGGGTGGCAGCTGAGGTAGACTGCTGGCTGCCCCTCCTGAGATCCTGCGTGCCTCGCCCCATGCAAGGCCAAACTGCTCCCAAATGAAGAATCCGGCCCTCTCCCCTCTATAGGTTTACACCATCATAGATCTCTTTCTTTGCCTGTCTCGAGGTGCTTTCCCGGCCCAACCGCTGGGGTGCGGGTGGGTGGGATGGAGGAGAGGCAAGGGGAAGAGTAAAAACCATCTCCTAGTTTTCTGTCATAGGATCAGCTTCTCTGCCAGATCCTCTCCAGTGCCTACGAAAGAGAAATCCAACCCCGGCCACCTTAAACTCTCCAGCCCAACCCATCCTCCAGTGCCTCAGCTCACGACCCTCTTGGATGTATGTCACCTGCTGGGCAGATCCTGGGCATGCAGGGTGTGTGCATGTGTGTGTGTTGTTGTGTGCCGTGCTTGGCAGGGAGAAAGGCTCCGGACTGTCCATGTTCATAACCAGCTGTGGGTTTGCTCTTAACGCTGAGTTTGGAGACCTCTTTCCAGCACGTGTGATAGCTTGGCCTGGGGTGTTTCGCAGGTGAAAAGTAGAAAGGTATTGCCACCATTCTGAAACCAGAGAGGTGAAGTGATCCTTCCTGACTAAAAATGGCCGCCTGCTTACATTTGCTGAAGGTGTGCTGCCTTCTCTCACAGCAGAAAACTGAATCCATCCCACTGTTGCCTCTTCCTTTCGGAAGGTTGTTGTTGGGTTAGAATTTCCCTTTCCATCAAGACTTGGGGAAACCAGCCTGTCTCTGTCTTGCAAAATCAGACTCCTCGGGAGTTTTGCCAGTGTGTGTCGAGGGGAGCCAGTAGCAATTGCTGCTTGGCGTGGTTCTTGTATATCTGCAGTTCAAGCACATGGCTCCCACTGGAAAGAAATGAATGGTGGGATGGATGGAGTGGGCCGCACAGCCGTTAAGTGCAGTCCTTTACCTGTCACCACTGACCCCTCCTGTGCCTGCTTTGGAGCTCGGGACCAAGTGGATCTGCGGAGGCTGTGGGTGGCCTTCAGCCTAGAGATTTTGTCCCTCCCTCTATAAACCCCAGAGGGAAAATAATAGCTGTGGTTGCTTCTCCAAATGTCAGTAGTACCCAGTAGGTTCCAGCTTACCCAGGCTCAGCTTTTGGGCTCTGCTCTTGTGCCAAAACCTGCCCTTAGGTGCAAAGACCACACTTTTGAAGGCTGACCCTTCACCCTTGCTCAGAATGTAACTGACACCCTTGACATCTGAATGCAACACCCTTCTGGAGTTTGTCTTTTTCCCCAGAAATTTGACAACTACGTTCCACCTTCTCTTGAGGCTGCTAAGATAGAGTTTTGGGTAGCTGGGGTGCTTTTTGTTTTTGTTTGTTTAGCGATGTACATTTTATTCGTGGCATAATTCCCACAAGGCTCCCTGACCCAACTGAAGCCCATCCTCTGTTTCCATCATCCCTTTCTTCCCCTGTGTGGTTTGTAACTGACACACTGGGTGCCCCAGTCTCCGTTAAAACAGCACTGCTGACTTCAGCATGAATGTAAAATTATTTGAGGTGAAGAAACTGGAAACTTGTTTGTCAGGCAGAAAATAGCATGTGAAACATGGCCTTAGATCAGCCCTTCAGGCCTTACCTGGGCTAAAGCTCTAGTGAGCTTGGCATATTCAGCTAAGTGGGAGAAAAAGACGCTTAATGTGGCCTATGACCTAATCTACAAGTGCACCTAAAAGGAACATATGAGCGGTGTAAAGTTAAAGAAGGCAAGGTACAAGACTAATTGCTAATGAGAAACGCAGGTTGGAAATTGGAAACCTTGCTGGCGTGGGGTGGAGCCTGCCCTTGTTGCCAGGAGGACAGTGGACTTGATATCTTCCTGTTCTTTTTCAGCTACAGTGAATCCATCCCCTTCCCCCAAAAAAATCAATTTGTAATTCCCACAGACATTGCCAGATACTGTTGGTTCTACTGTTGGGGGTGGGGGTGATATTCTGTTGGGGTTGCTGGTGTTGTTGCCCATATTTTAAGCTGCTGTCCCTTATCCCAGAGCCTTGTACATCCACCGCACTTTAATGGACATCCTTTATATCAAACGCCGCAGTTCAAAGCGTTGCTTGTTTTCGAAATATTGACCTGGGAGCCTTGGAAGTCCTTTGCGTGTTGAGACATAAAAGACCTTGGAGACAGGAATAGAACACCTGAGTTCCTTAGGTCCAACTCAGCTTTAGGTTGTTTCGTTTTGTGCCACCACCAGGGGATTTAACATACAAAAGGACAAAAGTGGACCTGGTACACCTTCAAGTTTGCTTCTACAGTGGATTTCACATGTCTGTCTGTCTCCCCTACTGTTTTTAAGAGATACAAATTCAGAAGGTCAAGTGCTCTCTACACAACGTCTCCCCCCCCCCTTGAAACTCAGCCTTTCTTGTTAGGCGAGAGTTGTAAAAGACCAGCAAAGAAAAATATGGCAAAGAGGATTTGAACAATGAGAAAAGTGAATTTGTTGCTTAACAATTTAATTTAAGAGAGTTTATTTTATATTATTTATTCTTAGCATTGTTCTGAGGGGTAGGGATTCCTTGGCCAAACTTGAATTCTTTGTAGTAAATAGCTTCACCAGAAACCCTTATAACTGGAGGTACTGTATAAAGTGGGGAGGCATTTTCAAGAATGTGCTACTGAGTTTTCAGATAATGAAGCATGACCAGTCCCATCCCCTGGCTTATATTTGCATCCCTCTGATTTATTCTCCACTTTGGGTTGTTTTGTTGTTTAATTTGGGGGGTTGGGGGGGTAGAGAAGGCTATTGGATATAGAGAATAAATTCTGCCATGTCTCTGCCTCTCCATTATTACAATTGATTTTTCAGTGCTCCAATGACCCATCCCCATTACCATGGGAATAAAAGTATTTTATAAAATGCACTTTGACATTTTTATTGAGATGTGGAAGAACACAAAAATGCACGCACACAAACACAGCCCCCAAAGGAGGGAGTGCTGGGGTGTTGTTTCAAATATCCAGACCTTTCCCTGTGTGAGAAAGATACCTCACACAGAAAAGCAACCTGTACATCGGTAAACATGTAGAACCAGCAACGTGAGTATTTTAAGGGTACTGATGTGTCAAGAAATCCAAGCTGCTACACAGCAATCCCCTGGAAGGGTGGCTGTTGTAGGGGGTGGCTGTCAGAAAAGCAATGTGAAACTACCTTAAATGACAAGTGCTATTGCAATGTATGACCTTGTGAACTTGACCTTGCCTCTGATTCTTATCTAGCTGAAATGCCATTCACATTCAGGCTTAGCAAAACTGCAAGGCTTGTAGAAGTGTAAAAAAAAGAGAGAGAGATGTTTTACAGAGAACCCTAAGAGAGTCAAAATGCACAATGATGCCTGAGTACGCGTGCCAAGTACAGTGGTACCTCGGGTTAAGTACTTAATTCGTTCCGGAGGTCCATTCTTAACCTGAAACTGTTCTTAACCTGAAGCACCACTTTAGCTAATGGGGCCTCCTGCTACTGCCGTGCTGCCGGAGCACGATTTCTGTTCTCATCCTGAAGCAAAGTTCTTAACCCATGGTACTATTTCTGGGTTAGCGGAGTCTGTAACCTGAAGCATATGTAACCCGAGGTACCACTGTAGATTGATGGGGGGGGCACAAGAAGGGAGGGAAAATGGAACACAATGTCCCAAAAGAGGTCATTGTTGGCTGCATCCCTAAACAGGATTACTCCATACAGCAACGTTTTACTTACATCCGTGTGTACACCACCAGAGCTTTCCAAACTTTTCATGTTGGTGAAACACGTTTTAGACATGCATCATTTCGCGGCACAGTAATTCCGTTTTAATATCAAACCGGAGGTTAAACTAACCCCTTTCGAGCCCCAGGAGCGTTCACATGACGCATCTACACACTGCAGCTGACACACTAATGTGTTTGGAAAGCTCTGGTGTAACCCTACTCTGTGCACAGGATTGTTTTGGGCATGGAAGTGAATGTACATAGTTCACAGGTGGAGACACTGCCATTGTGATGCTTCCACCACGGCACCCCTTCAAACTCAAGCACAGGGCAGAGTGTCTGCGGAGGAAGAAGGGAAGCTCTGCAGCTCAGGGGTGGGGCATCTGCCTGGCGTGTCGAAGGTCCCATGTTCAAGCCAGGTAGGGCATCTCCATTTTGTCTGCACCCAGGCAGCTCTGGCGTACAGGCTCTCAGTCTGTATACACACTATATACATCTGAAGCACATTCTTTTCCTCAAAGAATTCTGGTCACTGTAGTTCGATAACGGTTGCTGGGAGCTGTAGCCAAGTGAGGGGTAAACTACAGTGCCCAGAATTATTTGAGGGAAAGAATGTGGTTTGAAGGCATAGTGTGTAGTACACAACCTTGTTTTCTCTAGGCCTAGTGTTTCAGTTTTTCCTCACATGTGACCTCACATTTCTCCTTCAGCTTTCCGTCCTCCAAAGCTGTACTGTCTGGCTACCTGCCCCTGCTCCCGCAAGGCCTCTGCTCTCTCCAGTGAGCACAACCTTTGGCCACCACCCATTTTACTCCTTTCCTTCAGCTACCCCAGCCTCCTTGGTGCCTGCCTTCTACTCTCAGCTGCCCAGGCCGCAGCCTTCCTACCCAGCACTCTTGCCTGGTATCCATATTTCCCCTCACAGAGCCACAATTTCCAGAGCGGTTTAACAAGCAATCCCTTTCCGTACAGGACTCTTGAGAATTGTAACTTTGTAAGGGGAATAGGGGTCTTCTAACAATTCTCATTGCCTTTCACGAACTACAGTTCTCAGAATTCTTGGAGTGTGTGTGTGTGTGTCATGAAGTGGTATCAAGAGTGCTTTAAATGCCATGTGGCCTTGGCAGTATGTTTCAGAATACCATCTGCTGGGGTGCGTGGCCAAACTACATTGCCATCACCATTGGTTGGTTAGGATTTGGTTAGCCCAAATCCAGCCCCCACAACACACCCGATTACAGCAAAGGTAAGGTAAAGGTAAAGGTACCCCTGACCATTAGGTCCAGTCGTGACCGACTCTGGGGTTGCGGCGCTCACCTCGCTCTATGGGCCGAGGGAGCCGGCGTTTGTCCGCAGACAGCTTCCAGGTCATGTGGCCAGCATGACTAAGCCACTTCTGGCGAACCAGAACAGCGCACGGAAACGCCGTTTACCTTCCCGCCGGAGCGGTACCTATTTATCTACTTGCACTTTGATGTGCTTTCAAACTGCTAGGTTGGCAGGAGCTGGGACCAAGCAACGGGAGCTCACCCCGTCACAGGGATTCGAACCGCCGACCTTCTGATCAGCAAGTCCTAGGCTCTGTGGTTTAACCCACAGCGCCACCTGAGTCCCCATACACAGCAAAGGTGGCGCTGGTTAAATCAGACCCCCCTCCCCCAAGTCCAAATCCAGCGCCCCATTGCATACAGAAGTCTTGCTCTCCGCAGACCTGGACGGAGCCACATTGGATTTAATGAAAACAGCAAGAATGCCTGAACCTCTGTGCTCGGGACTTCAACTTCCCCTGGTGTTTTCTGGTAAGTACTGCTGCTAAACTATTTTTGTTTTCACTAGATTTTTCTTGGGTAACCAAAGTACATACAGTATCTCTGTTGCCAATTCATAGTGTCAGCTACAATTAAGTGTGAGACCTTATTGTGCGTCAGGCTCTGAGGCGTGGGGATCAGCGGGAGTGGCGCTCTAGGAGGCTGAGGCAGGCAAGGGCCCACAGCCCAGCTCCCTAGCTGGCCAGGTGGGGCTCGCTAGCTCTGGAGGAGGGGTGTGATTCCTCAGCTGGAGCAGGCTTAGAACAGGTGAGGGTCACCTGCCTCGTCAAGCCCAGGTGCTGCAATCAGTATGCAAAGTACAAAAGGGAAGCAGAGCTGAGGGGCTGAGTCTGATCAGCCGCCCATGTTGATGGGCAGATTGGATGCTCCAGGGTCTGTGGGACTGTGCTTTAGTTTGGACTTTGGACATGTGGATTGATTCTGGACTGGAGACTTGACAAACTGACTCGCTGCCCAGTAGGCCAGGGCTTCAGAACTGGGTGTAGCTGGGACTGGGACACACTAAGCGAAGCAGGGGATCAGGAAGGAAGTACTCACATGGTGATGGAGGATGGTGAGGGGAAGGAGATCAATGCACAGGAACCAGAAACAGCAAGACCCATCACCAGAGCCAGAGGGGCCCTTTCCCCATGAACATGCGCTGTGAGGAGCAGCAGGAGTGGCCCTCTAGAAGGCTGAGGCAGACAAAGGCCCACAGCCCAGCTCCCTAGCTGGCCAGGTGGGGCTTGCTAGCTCTGGGAGGAGAGGTGTTGAAGGGAGAGGGAAGGGTTGCTTTCTATATGCTTTCTGTACCTTGTACCTTGTACCTAAGAAGGATCTTCTATACCTTGGATCTAAGTCAATTTCTGAGCTAGAAATAACTTCACCTGCAAAAAAAGGCCCCTCGAAGGAATGTAAGATAAGACAGAGGCTGTAAGCTAGAAATAGCCAGACCTGCAGAATAGGCCCCTCGCTTTCTTACTTTAGGAATGCAAGATAAAAAAAAAGGACACATACGGAGGAGACGGGAGGAAGGGATGCAAGACGCCTGTATAGGGAACAATAGGGAGGGCTGTTTAGAGGGCTATAGACATGCTAAAAATAAGTTGAAAACTTTCCAGTTGATTGGGGAAGTTTCTGGAGGGCGTGGGGAGGAGGGAGAGAGCCTACTCAAGGTATAAGAAAGTCTGCAGAGGCGTATTTTCTGGGCAGTCAGTTTTCCAGAATTTATTCTGCTGGCTGTCTCCTGTGCACAGAGAATAAAACTGCTTTCCTCCAAAGAAGGATCTTTCCTGGTGTTTTCTTTTACTCTCTCTCTGGATCTGAGGACGCGGGCCAACGATTCCCTGGCATGGACTAGGCTCAGCCTACATCTTGGTTCCCTGACCGGGAATCTGCCCCACCTCAGAGGGCTGGAGAGAGCCAGGCTCAACCTGGTGGACAGCTCAGATCGGTGATTGCAGGCTCCACGCGCGCACCCTACCAATTTGTGGGGGGAGCCAGCCACACCGCTCCAGAGCAAGGACCCAGGTCGAGGGAGGAAAGAGGACTGGCCAGGGAAAGGAATCTGCAGCAAAAAAAAAAAACGGTAAGCCCAAGGGAAAGGGCGTGGGCGTGGGGCCCAAGGGAAAAGAGGGAGGCCTGATCAGCCTCACCTGGTTATGCAGTAGTGTGCAGCCAGGAAGGGAATGGTTATGCAGTAGTGTGCAGCCAGGAAGGGAATGGTTATGCAGTAGTGTGCAGCCAGGAAGGGAATGGTTATGCAGTAGTGTGCAGCCAGGAAGGGAATGGTTGTGCAGTAGAGTGCCAGCCACCAGGAATAAAGGGGATTGGCTGCGCAGTAGAGTGCCAGCCACCAGGAATAAAGGGGACTGGTTGTGCAGGAGAGTGCCACCAGCAAAAATTTGGAACAGAAGAAGGAGGGAAATTATTTTGGTGTGTTTTGTGTATTGCATGCTGAAGTTATTTGGTGTGTTTAGTGTGTTGCATGTTGAAATTATATTGATGTGATTTGTATGTTGTATGTTGCTATGTTGCATGTCAGATACTCCAGTGACTGAATTGTTGTTAAGTGTGAAGGTTGGGGCTTAGCGTTCCCCTTGGGTGATTGCAGGGTAGAAGAAGTGCCACTGGTTTTGGTGTCGCCCAGAAAAAGCAGCAAAGGGTGCTGCTAGGGCCCCGGTCGAAGTCTAAGCGCTGCCGGTTATGGTTGGTTGTTGGTTTTGTGCCCAGAAGAAGCAGTAAAAAAAGGTGCCCTTGGGCCCCGGTCGAAGTTGTGAAGCACTGCCGGTTGTGATTTTGGTTTTTTTGGGGAAAAAGGGGTTGCGGAAGGTGCATGGGTTTTTCTGAATGTGCGTGTGGGGACACTC